CAATGCATTGCGATTTTTTGAAGTAGCTTCGGCCCATGCATGGATGTGGTTTGCTACTGGTTGCCTAAGATGATATTTAGCGGTCTCTCTGCAAGCGAACAGATAGTGGTCCGGATCTCCTACCATCCCGCATGAGCAATGCTCGTTTTCGCGTCGTCTGAAGCGATGCAGGTAGGTCATGAAGGGACCATGTCCTGTTAGATACTGAGTAAAGTGAGACGAGCCAGATTTTAGAAGCCGGCAGACTTTTGGAAAAAATCTGTAAACTCTTCTGCCGGTGGTTTCTGTCTCCCTGTTGCCAACGTTCATACGGTTTTCTTTACAGATGGCAGCAAGATGAACAACAAGGTTGGCCTTGCATTTGTTCTTTTTGAAGGCCATTCCGAGATTTGTTTTCTTAGACACCGTATACGGAATGAATGTACAGTTTTTCAAGCAGAACTTCTGTGCATTTATCTTGCCGTCAAATGGATTCAGGATCATGGGACAACATCCTCAAAGTACCTTATTTGTTCTGATTCTCTTTCTTCTCTTCAACTTTTGAACAGTATTACCAGCTGCGATAAATTAGTTATCGAAACCCTAGTAAACTGTTAGTTCACTTAGAATTAGAGGTATTGATATCTGCTTTGCTTATGTGCGTGCTCATCATGGTTTTACGGAAATGAAAGAGCTGATTTCTTAGCTAAAGATGCCTTAAATTTACCCATTGATATCAACATTAGCATTCCAAAGAGTTATTGGAAGTCCTTTCATTATAAAAAGCTTTTAGCTATGTGGAATGAGGAATACATTTCATCTTCTAATGCTGAAGTCACCAAAAAGTTCCTTCCTTCTATTTACCATAGACTGAATTCCGAGTCTTTCCTCTCGTTAAATTTTAAAGTGTCTCAGTTTTTATCTGGTCACGGTAAATTTGCAAACTATCTGTTTCGTTTTAATCTACGATCAAACAATTTATGTGAATGTTCAAAAAGAGTTCCTCAGGATGTGGAACATTTGATTTTCTTGTGCCCTACATTTGATGGCCCTAGATTATGCTTACAGAACGATTTGAAAATGTTCGGAGTGACTTATCTGTTTTTGTGAAGTCCAGACTGCTGTTCTCTGCTTTTGTTCGCTTTATTTATGCATGTAATTTTTAATGTTTATTTATACATGTAACCTTTAATGTTCTAGTTAACTTACTTCTGTAAGCCCCGTGTTGTATATATGTGGTGCACGGGGAGTCTGTATGTTCTCAAAGGAAAAAAAAGAAAAAAAAAAGGTAACCAGTATAATAAAATACATTTTAAGCTGATATTTATAGCATATGAAATTTCCCCAATATTAACCCCTTGACGTACAAATAAAATACGCGTCCGAAGAACACAATTTTAATTTGGACACTCATGTGCAAGCTTAGAAACAGAACATTTTATTTTCAAATTTAGATTTCTATGTAACAATAATAATATACTGTGCGGCGTTCGCCGAAGAAAGTTTTGGACGTCTTGGAGACGTCAAAATCTACAATAGCACAGGATATCAACGACGTCTCCCGAACGTTATTGCATGTCAGGTGGTTAACTCAGGAAGCCTGCAAGGGCTTGTGTGTTAAAATGTTATGAAATTGAAATTTTTTGAACATATTTATGTTTATATCGTGGTAAGAATTGATAAAGCAGCCTAGTATTTCATAGTTGCCAATTCTTTGAATTTTACCAAACCTGAAGAGTTGGCAGTTGTGAATCCAACCGGGATTTTACCAGGAGACTCCTGGTTTTTCGACTATTCGGTCTTTTTTGCCTTCTTTTCTCTCTCTCTCTTTTTTGTTTTTGTAGCATTTGCTAATGAAAGTGATTTTCAGCAATAAAATTAAATAGAGCAAATAAAATTAATTCGTACAAATGAAAATTGCACAAGTTTAATGATTCAATAGAAAGAAATTTGTACAATTGGTTTCATTCTCCACCCCTAGTGATTTTCAGTATAATTTTTACCATTAAATTTTGTTTGATCTGAATTTTCGTTCTACTGAGAATTAATTATGAATCGCAATGTTAAGAAGAGTTTAAGTGTTTTAGTCAATAAAAACAAAAATTTAAAATTTTTAAAGGGTTAAGTCCTGGATTTTTAAAAATTACTAGGGTTTATATTATTTTAACTAACATTTATTTTAAGTTTAAACTATCTTTCCTGTCAAGCCTTACTTTCCCCTGGAACTGCCAATGCCAGAATATGTAAATTTTAGTAGAACGCGCAAGGATTCAAATTATCAGCGGAAGTATTCTGATTTAAATAGAAAGGAAACGAGTTCGAGGTGTGATGTTCTTACTTCACGAGCGCGGAGGTAGTTAGCGAGAAATTGAAGAACCCCGCGTTTCGGCCTATGTGCTTGGCCTGGAAGTAGTTGTTAATCGTTCAAGTGAGCTTCAAGTCTGCTGAATTAGCAGCGGTATTGTAAAACGCGGTGAGTTAGTTATTTTTTAGAGAGCCTCGTAGTTAGAATCTTGTCTTTAGTTTCTTTTCAGGTTATTATTTTTATTTGACTGCCGAGTAGTTGGCGTAGTTTGTGAAGCGTCAAGAGCACGCAATTGTAATTTATTACGTTGAATAAAAAGGGACTTAAACCCTTTACAAGACTCTGTCTTTTATACCAAGTTTCACAGTCACCTCTTGGTTGCGTGCAAGTTGGAGGCGCGCAACGTTACATTGGCGCCCGAACACTTATCGAACTGAAATGGCCGAAAATTGGATGGAAGCCGCTGGACAACACCAAGAAATGACAAGCCAGTTAGAAGGATTTGGATACCTGGTCCAGACTTTGAGAGCGTCAATCAAGCCAAACGTCTATTTCGACGGAAAAAATTCGGTGGCGGTATTTCTAGAAGGTCTAGAAAACCACTTTCAGCTCTACCCTGTGCCTGAAAGACAAAAAGTTGCCATCGCCACATCAGCACTAAGAGGACAGGCCGCGCTATGGTGGAAAAATATAGGCAAATTTTTATTAGGGGAATTTGGAAGCCAGACATATACATTTGAAAATTTCAAAAAATCGTTAGTAAAGGCCTTCCCCATAGTGAAAGATCGCGCACGGCTGGAAGCCGAACTATATAGTTTCTATCAACGGGATACAGCAGAATTGACGGACTTTATTCTACGAAAAATCAAGCTAACGGATATGCTGTATGGGAAGAAAACCCGATGCGGAGATTATTGAAATAATATTACCAAGATTGTTACCCGCTGTTCAAGACTACTTTGAAATTAGAAACCCAAGCACATTGCAGGAACTCTTCGAATTGGCGGTGAAGTTTCAAAATCGCAGAATAGCGGAAAAAAAGCGAGAGGGGAAACATATTCTCAAAGTACCCGAAGGAAATCTTCAAATGAGGAAACCAGAAATGGAAATCGCTCTTATGGGGGAAAGAACTATCAAGCTAACGCATCGAAACTCGAAGGTCAAGGCCCAAAAAGAAAATTTGAAAATAAACATCCGCGTACCCAGAAGACACAGATTGAAAGGAAAGCTTTAAACGAGTAGAGGGGCCTGTGAAAGGGAGGGTCCAGACCCCGGAAGTTTTAAAAAAACCCTCAAATAGACATTTAAATACGGTCATCGTAAAAAACTCACAGCTACCAATTATACAAGTCCTGGTTGGCGATGTACCAGTAGAAGCCCTCATCGATACAGGAGCAGCAGAAGGAAATTTTATGAGTGAAAAGTTCTTCAAAAAGAATTTTTATAGGATACGATTATTTAAAACCAAAAAATACGGAAATTATAGCGGCGCAAGGAAAAACATGTCACTGCATCGGGAAATTATCATTAAACATACAGGTAAAAGAGGAAAGCCTCAAAGTATTAATTTTTGTGGTGAAAACCTGCAACAATCTCTTATTTTAGGTATGGACTTTTTTAAGGGCCGCGAGGGCCAAATTAAATTTTCAAGATAGTTCCGTGGTGCTGGAGATGGACCAGAGGGTGGTGGAACCTGTGGAGACCTGTTGCCTGTTTGAAACAAAAGCAAGTAATAAAGAAAACTAAATGTTTTCAGAAAAAAAAACAACCTTTTTTCCACTTTTTCCTTTCTCAAATGCACTAAATAATTGTCTTCTATATTATGCTAAGTATCTAATTTGCTAGCTTAAAAAATATCATTACCTTCCATTATCATAACCATTCATCCTTTTATTACTTTAGAAAACTTTGAGGTGTATCCTCTTTTAAAAATTTTATATAATCACTAACGTTAAGATCATTTGAAAAATGTATAAGAATTTATGTATCTTGAAGTTAAAAAGTAATTATTTTAAGCTTACTGAAATGTAATGAATTAAATATTGAAGTGTTATCTAATGTAATAGTTGCAATTTTGATATTAATGTAAAAAGTTTTTCATTCATCAGTGATTTAAAGAAAAGCTAATAATGAATTGAATGATAATAAGCTTGAATAAGATAGAATGATAATTGTTTGGAAATGTTTCAGACTTCACATCTGCCATACTTACATATTCTGTAATATTAATAATTTTCTTTCTGACAAATATTTAACATGATAAAAAATTTCACTAAGTCAGTACCAACTTACGATGGAAAATAATAAATCACAAACAACTTAATCTAAAAAGCAGTAAATCGCATAATTTAAATTTTGGGAACAATTTTACATGTAGGCGTGTTTGCATTTAAATTTTAGGGTTTATAATGAATTAAAATGAGCGTAATATTAAAATATAACCCCATTCAAAACTAAAACTGGTTATATTTTAGTTTAATGCAATAATAGGGAAAATTATTCCTCTGTATCGTTCTGAATGTTATCAGAATGGAGATTCACTGATTAGATATGGTAATTACTTCCCGTGTTAGAAAATTAAATAATTAAATTAATTTAATTAATTTAATATTATAAAATTTTTTTGCCATAAATTGAAATTTAAATTTTCAGTTTTACTTGCGTTATGCATTATGAACTAATTTCATGTTTGCTTATGTATTTATTTATTTTATAGTGATGTACCACGAGAACTTCCTGCTCTTCATCCAAATGACGCAGAATTTTTCTAGCCAGATGTTTCATTTGATATGCCAGTATTAGAGAAAATCTGCAATGACTGTAACACTGATCTGTGTTCTTTAAAAGAAGAGGCTTATGTAAGTGCATCATGTTGCTCAGATGATTGTACTATACTTCCATATTTAGAAGATACCATTGAAAAGGCTACTGCAATTTCTATAGAAGCTGCTAGTCCGTTAGCATTGAATACCATAACTCAGAATATATCTAAGGACATTCCATTTCCTGGTATTTGTTATGAAACAAATGCAGCATTGTCAGTTACAAGTTCTGCTTCTTCATTAACTGTTGAAAATGTCACTGCATCTACAAATTGTACAAGTTATACTTCTGTTGTAGATATAAATGTGAATGATACCCTAAAAATATCTGATTTCCAAAAAACTAATATTGAAGAGACTGTAGGTTCGTTTGTAGAACGAGCTGTGATTACAAGCTCATGCAGCATACTTGATTCTTTAAATGTTCTGAATTATGATAATTCTTTTAGTTCTGTAAATGTAAATGAACTCTTAGATAAAACGGATTCCCAAGAAGCTGAAGTTGAGGAAAATGTATCCTTGCTTCTACATGAAACAATCAATAGACTTGATTCCCAAGGAATTTTGAAAGAAAATATTGAGCTGTATAATAAAGTAAGACAGACTGAAGAACAAGTTTGTGATAATAGGGAATTAAGCAGAACTGATTGTATGCTCACTATTTCTAGTGAAAATAATGTTCAAATGTCTAATTCAAATATGTTAATGCATGAACATAATGACAAACATACTCATATGCAGAGTGAAGTGCAAGTACAATGTGATATCAAGCTAATAGAAAATGAAGCGTGTGCAAGACAGCAGAGTAAGTTTGAAACTCCTTTGAATGAAAAAAGTGATGAAAGGATTTAACTTTATTCTGAAAGCCCATTAGTTGATGTTACTACATGCAGTGATCAAAAGAAACATGGCAAGCAAAGCATTTTCGTTGATTTTAGCAGCCAATTTATTAGTGCTAATGTAGACCATAGAGAGCAACATTCTGATATTCCAGAGAATTTCATTAAAAGATTCCAGATTGATGCAAATAAGTACGTTGAAATGGAATGTTTCGGTATTGTTACTAATGTAGAAAATGCCAGATGTAGAGAGAATGAAGGTGCTTCTTTACATGAGGAAGGTGAACAAACTCAGTTGTCGACTGAAAAGGAAAGATTTTTAATTCCTGTAAGACTTGAAGAAGAATCATTTTCTAAGTCTTATAAGATAAACTTAAAATTAATTGATACTGAAGCTGGAAATATATTAAACTGCAATATCTTAGACCAGAAGGAATTCAAACCACATGCTTTTAGAAATTCCTTGAATGAGCAAGATAAGAGTATTAAATTAAATACTTGTACAGATCATCCATTGTATAATGATGTTAATGAACGAATCATGCAGCCCAATGAACTGGATTCTTGTAAAGAAAGTAATCAGCGTAAAAAAAATCAAATATCATATTTGATGGTGAAGTAAATAATAACATTTGGGCCAAAATCCCAAAACTTGATGCTAGTGGACCAAAGAGGTGCTATGCTGATGGAGATATGGATATTTCAGACAAAACATTATTTGCTGAGGTATCTAAAACAAGTAATGAAAACTTAAGCAATGAATTAACCCTAAGTCCAGCACATATTTTAGGCAATGTAGAGTGTGGAAATAATTTTGCTCTTACAGCTGATGTTAGGAACGTGAAATCTTTTTTAAAAAATGTTTTCAGATAATATGAGCATGAAGAAAGTAGAAAAAGCATTGAACCGTACTTACTTGATGATCACGAACCTATTCAAGTCTGCATTGATTCAGAAGTACGTACAGCAAATTCAATTACTGTGTCACCATTAATGGAAGTGCCAAATAAGAAAAGTATTATTCAGGCTGTTGCTGATAAACCTTTAAGTACCACTTTAGATTCAAACAATACTATGTTCGAAGGCTTTTCAGCATTGAATCCAGGTAGGGAATCTCTTAATGGTGTAACTGAACCAACACTGCCTGAAACAACTGACCAAGAAACATTAACTGCAACTTCTAGGCTAATAATGTTTGAGGATTTTACCTCTCATTTGAATAATCAAAACTTTGATCGTAGTATATGTGATGTGGTTTGTTCTCATAAAGTTAATTTATATATACTAGAAACAGATGTTTCTGAAGTATAAAACAATGAAGCTTAGAATGAAAGTCTAATAGATGTGAAAAGAATTCTAGAATTAGGGAAAGGCAAAACTCCTGTAGATGTAGGTGATAAACATATTGTGAATATTGAAAATGAGCATAAAGATAATTGTAACTCAAGCATTCATAAACACACAATATTGATAATTTAAAAAATGCAGCTGGAGTAGCTGACAATAAGCTGACAATAAGGAAACGGAAATAATGCCTAACATAGCTGTTAAATGTGCTGCTGATAGTACATGTGACTCTACTAAACATTCATTTGATCAAAACAGTCTATCTGATTCCTCACCTGCTTCTGGTTTAGACTGTATTTATCGCCAAAGGAAACTGAAGTTACCAGCTGCATGCAAATGGAAAAATTCTGACCAAAACATCTCTCTCAAAAATTTTGCAAATAATGTTCTACTGCATATATCGCGTAATCCGAACAGTGGAAGCAATGCACTTGATTTAACATCTCATTCTCCAACAAGACGACAGTCTTTGAGTAACAAATCTGACAGCTCTGCAAATAGTATTAACTATGATTCAACTTCTAGAAAGAATTTGTGCAGTATTCAGGTAAAAGAAACCTTTAGTCCAGAGAATTGTATTGAGTGCCAAAAATTATGTAATACCTTCTCATATGTGCAGATTAATAATCCAGTTTTAGATAATTCATCATGTATTTGCATTGAACAAACTCTTCCAATGACAGAAAACTGTGAACATTATGTTTTTGATTGTAGCAAAAAAAAATTCAGTTCATCGAGTTCAACTCAGACAATCATTGTCAATACTAATTCATATGAGGATGCTGATTTCAGCAGCAGTTCTGAGAATGACTGTATGTGGCAAAGCCTTCATAGTGAAGTAAATAACTTGTGTAAAAGTATAAACTGCGATGATAGTGAAAATGCTTTAGATCTTAGTCTGCATAGTCAGCTGAAAGCATAAATATGACAGCAGACACTAAAAAGAAGTGTCTCCTAAAGACCTATAACGAAAAAATATGGGCTGTGTCAGATTGCTGCAGAAGGACAAAGTACTCCTGAATGTGCACATGGTGTTGAGCCTTAGCAGAAGAGGATGCCTTCATAATGTGGTGCTGCTGCTCATAGGATGGAAATTTTTATGAGGGTGCCGTATTGTAAATGTGCCTCCAACTATTTTGATGATAAATTTCTAGCTTGCAAAAAGCAACCTTCATAAAGGTGCCATCACCTTTTTCCCAAAGGCACTGATATAGAAGTAAAATTTTATTTGTTTTGCTAGTCAGAGTAGTAACTAAACCCCTTCTTGGAAAGCAATGCCCTTTAGCAATGCTTCCGCAGTTTTATGAAGGTTGCTTTTTATAAGTCATCTGCTAGATCTTTTGTCAATATAACCATGTGAATGTTTCTGTCTTTTCAATCATTGGTTAACTTGCATAAAGGTGCTAATACCTTTTCGATGGGGCATTATTATGAAGTGGTCTTAACAGAAACTTAGTGATAGTTTGTTTAAAAAATAGCAAAATGTTGCTGATTTTGAACTAAATGTCAAGCCTCCCCCCCCTCCAAATTTCTATAAAAATAGAATGTTGACAAGCTTTATGCAAATTCTTCATTAAACTAAAGTTTAAAGCAAGTTCATTTCTAATGATTATATTTAATTCAAACTAGACAAGAATAGCAAGCATAACCTTGACAAAAGTAACGTAGAACAAGTATATGGAACTGAGCTGTATTTCAAAAACTTAATTCACAGATTGATCCAAGTACTTAGCATTGGAAAAAAAATTACTTTTTATGGATACTTTTATATGTTATTTTTGTTTAAAATAGATTTCCTTAAGAATTTTAAGGGTTAGCATAAAATGTGATTTAAGTTTCCATGATTTAAATCCTGATAAATTTAAGAATTAAGTGACATTTGTTCACTAAAGATGACTTAAATATATTGGCAAAATAATCTAATTTTGGTTCTATTCTTGATAAATTCGCAACAAGAATGCTAAAAGTAGAATTTTATACAAAAGAAAATAGAATATTTGATCTAAATGCATAAATATAATAAAGGTCATTAAATCAATGCATACAAATTCATACATTAATTTTATATAAAGGACACTTTATCAGGTTCTGTGTTTCTCCTTACTTGCTTAGGGAACATTCAAGAACCTGACTCGGAACAGGGAGCTTACTAAAGCTATGTTCAATAAATGTGGGAACTAGACAAGATACACAGCAAGGGTATACGAAACCCTTTATTTTTCACTCTTTACAATAATTTCCGGACTTCGGAATACAGAGACCAACCACTTGTGGTCTGAACGTAAGAATATAAAAATATTAACTAAACTCTAACTTAACTTTGGAATAATAAACAAGGGCCTACGTGGAAGATCGGCCGTATATTAACAGGAAGCCGTATGTAGCATAGAGAACTGTTAACACTACAATACGTTTAAAAATTATCAAGAGGATTAAACCTCTGGCCTGGAAGGCAACCAGCAACTGAGTAAAACTGCTAAGGCAAGCGGCCTGCTTCTACTAACTCCTTCCTCTCTTGCTTGGCAAAAAGCCACAACTTAAGTACTTGGCGTTCGCCAACAAATTTGCATAAACAAGTTAAAGCGTTTAATTCTGGCCGGAAGTAGAAAATACGAGTAAGAAGTGATAGTACAGTTTAAAAATAAAATAAACGTTAGTAAAACTTAGGATCCTTACATACTTCCCGCCAGAGTTAATTAGTTTGAAACTGAGGTCTAAAACGACCTTTTTGAAAACTTTTAGCTCTAGAATCTAACGCGAGGCCAATCTTTTACAAACATTTCTCACTAAAAAACTAGAAATTTAAAAAAAAAATTGTTTTTACATTATCAACTCCATGGACAATTACTTTTCATCTGTACTGCATCTAAACAGGAGCTTTTAGTTGAAATATGGTTCCTTCCAGAGATCTGGAAGGAAAACTAGTTTAATGAAATGTTACACAATTAAATGGCAAGTCACATAAATATTTATATTTCTCTTAACATTCTTATTTCATTCATGACTTTGTTTAATTATCTCTCCCCGTGCTCTCTGACATGTGTTGTAAAAGAAAACACCAAACACGAATGTGTTTATGTCCAAGTGTTCAACACTGCCGCCTACAATCAAAACACTAACGTGTTAAAATTCAACATAACAAGACCTCGTAACACACCTTATCTTCATCTCTAAACCCTGAGGTACTATTCTGAAAGTGGCTAACTCTGAAGTGTAGCGTCAGAGAGCCTAACTACATTCATTCAACCTTTAACACATATTCACAATACTTTTCTCTTTTTTAGTCACTCGAATAAGTTAAAAAATTTTTGGCATTACTTTCACTTTTACCATATCACAGGTATTTCTTAACATTTAAAAAATAACAGTTCACATTGTATATAAGAACATATTAACATGCCGTTAATTTTACGCATTTAAAAACATACATTAGTAGTACATTGTTAACTTCTATTCTTTTCCAAGCAAGTGCCAATTCTTCTACATTGAAATACTACATTTCAAAAAGTCTTTCAGACTAAAACTTCTTTCTTGCAGAATGTTTTAAATAAAATTTATACAATAACTTTTACAATATTCAAGTATTTACACATTCCTATTATACATCAACTTTAGTTTTACTCGCGAGTAATTGAAAAAAACATAATACCAAAATAGGTAACAATTCATTTCTCGCCTTTTTGGCGATAAAGGTAGACCTCACATGAGGTAAAACGTTCTTGAATTCTGCCACTTGCAGTAAGAATGAAAGATTAACTTAAGGTTTGCAAAGTAACATAAAGTTTTACTTATCTTTGTGATATTCGGACATTCTTTTTCTGCCCAGTCCTGGAAGGTAGCGAAGATTAGTGTTTGGTTTATCTTCCTTCTTGTGCGGGCTCGCCCTTCAGTTTCCTTCCTCTAGGAGCTTTCTTTTCCCTCCAGTTCGGTCACCCTTGAAGACCTTCTTTTTCGCCTCTGCCTGTGGTCTTGGCCGTTTGATGGCAGCTGGTCTTGGCGGAACCGGGAAACTTCTCTCTCGTTCCTGCTTGGATCTCGTTGCTGGCCGTTCAAATTTTCCTTGTATTCTTTTCCTCCGCCGCTGGTGTTTCCTTCCGTAATTCGGCGACATTTGCTGCTGCGTAGAGTCCTGTCCGATGAGTAGATCTTCCGTTTTGGAAGCCGGGTTATAGTTGCCGTTATTTCTCCTGGCTCTCTTTGCATTCGTCGTACTTCTCCCTTCTTCATTCTGGGGGTGGTCGTGCGCTCTCTTTTCTGGTCGATGGAACGGCTTCTTTTTCTTGTTACCTTCAATTTTCCAACGGGGAAACTTTCTTTTTCAATTGCTCCTGCCTCTAATGGCTTGTCCCTTGTGCTTGTCGTTGTTCCACCTCTAGGAGCTTGTGCCTGCAGTGCCTGCCGTGCCGGATCCTGCAAAAGATCTTTAAATATTTGCATTTTATTACGGTCATAGTATGGTTTTATTTGGTCAATGTTTGCGGAGCATGTTTCACCATTCCTGGCTTTTAACACCACTACAGCCTGATTTACTTTTTCTATGATATATGGTCCTTCAAATCGTGGAAAAAATTTGGCGATTTTATCTTCTGGTGCTGAAGAAAGTGAATGCTTAATTTTTAATACTTCATCCCCTACTTTATAAGTTACTCCCCGTCGTTTCAAATCGTAATAGAGCTTCTGTTTTCTTTGTGCTACTTCAGTGTTCTTTTTTGCTTCTTTAATTAATTTTTCTATATCACCCATTTTAAATTCTGGGGCTCTTTGTTGAACATAAAATAATTTATCTAACGGCGTTATAATCTTTCTGCCTAAAAATAACTCAGCAGGAGTTTTGCCCGTTGTATCATGTTTTGCGGTCCTAAGGGCGAAAGCAAATTCATTGACATAGTTATCCCAGCTTTTATGAAAATTTTTAACATAACTACGGATAATTTTCACTATATTTCTATTGACCCGTTCCGCTATATTTGATTGCGGCCGATACGGGACCATTTTTAAATGACGTATGCCCAGTTTTTGGCACATGTCTTCAAATATATTACTTACAAATTGAGGACCATTATCCGATATAAACTTTTAGGGGCGCCCCGTATTTTAAAAATATATTTATTTAAAATAGAATCAGTAACTAATTTCGCGGAGGCTCGTTTTAAGGGAACGGTTTCGGTCCACTTACTAAAATGATCAACCATAACAAGGAGATACCGACTTTTATTTAACTGACTTTTTGGGAAAGGGCCCAATAAATCGATGCCAATTATTTCATTTGGAAAATTCGGATTTAATACTATTTAGAAACCCGGCCGGGCGGAAATTAATATAATTAACTGCTTGACATGTTGGGCAGGACTGACTGGACATACGCCCTTGTTAACTTTTGCAGTTCAGGAAATAGACTGCCTTCGCGTACGCGTTGGATAGTTTTTCGAATACCAGCATGAGAAGCTAATGGGCTGTCGTGTAACTCCTGCATGATATTTAATCTAAGACTAGCTGGGATAACATGTCGAAATTCGTTGTTGGAATTCGTAGTTTTTGTATAAAATAATAGACCATCTATTAGTTCGTAATGAGGCCGCCCTATTTCTTATCGCCACAATATCTTGGTGGCTAAAATTTTCAGGATCCTTTAAATACTCATAAATGTTTCCAAACTTCAGGATCCTTACCCAGTTCGGTTATTACAGTTTCTCGGAAATTTATTGTACATGCTGTGAGCATTGCCACCTTTACAGTATTACCTTCTTCATCTATTTTTATTCTGGATAGGGCATCTGCTACGATATTTTCCTTTCCGGGGGTATGCTTGATTACCAGATTATATTCTTGTAGCTTGAGTGCCCATCTTATTAACCTTGGGGATAAGTTTTTCCCTGAGTACAATCTAGTTACCGCCGCATGATCAGAACAGACTGTTATTGGCGCCCTTCCAAAATAGACTCGGAACATTTGCACTGCTAACAGAACTGCAAGTGCCTCTCTCTCGGTCGCGGAATAATTTCTTTGTGTTTGATTTAAAGTTCGACTAAAAATGCCACGGGCTGCTGATTTTGCGAAAGTACCGCTCCTACCGCATAATCCGAAGCATCCGCTGAAATTTCTAAATTCTCATCCTTTTCAGGAAATTTCAACACAGGGGCTTGCGTTAATGCTTGCTTTAATTTTTCGAAAGCACTATTGGCTTCGGCCGTCAACGAGAATCTTGCCGTTTTTCCTTTTTAATTTTAACAATGGTTCAGCAATAGCTGCAAAATCTTTTATAAAGGACCTATAATATGAACAAAGTCCTAGAAAAGAAGAGCTTCTTCGCCGTATTTGGCGGCGGATGCTTTTGTACAGCGATTATTTTTGATTCGTCTGTCTCGATTCCTTTCTGAGATATTTTGTAACCTAAGTATTTTAATTCAGGGCTGCAAAATTTGCACTTTTTCGACATTAACTTTTAGACCGGCCTCATTTAATAATGAAAAAACACCTGTCTTAAATCCTGTACATGTTGGTCCAGATTATCACTAGTAATAATGATATCGTCTAAATAGATAAATGTGGACTTTCCAAGAACAGGCCTTAGCACAATGTCCATACATCGCTGAAATGTTGCCGGTGCCCCTGAAAGGCCAAACGGCATACGCAGGAATGCATAAGTGCCAGACTTGGTTATAAAAGCAGTCTTAGGCACGTCCTCCGGTCTAACCCCTATTTGAAAATAACCAGTCGTTAAGTCTAAAGTCGTCATATATTTGGTAGAAGTTTATGTTCCTTAGAATTTCTTCAATAATAGGTAACGGATATACCGGATATTTAGTTATGGAGTTTAATTTACGATAGTCAATTGCGAAACGCCACCTTTTTGGATGTGTTTAATGGATAGTCGTTATTGTTTTTC